TTTTAGGTCTAGTCTAGTGTAATTAAATGGTGGGGCTTATGTCCTAGGACTTCCTAGGAAAGCCTACGACTGCTTTCCCCCCTCCTTGGGGTATAGAGTTCAGGAGCCAGTTGGTTTTTGGAGATCTTGCTAAGCAGAGGAGCTGAATGGTGGGAAGGGTTGTTGACCAGACAGCCCATTGGAGTGGGGTCCCCAGTCCAGACCTGGCCCCAGGATTCTGCTGGCTTCCTCCATTTTGCCTTTATTTCTCAGGTGCAAACGGCATTTGGCATCCTTGATCTTGAAAGAGGCCCGCTGTTTAACCGATAGCACTGCAGCCTCTAGAGGGATGGTAGAAGCTCAGCACAGCCTGGGGGCCCCGTGGGGGTGAGGGCTGTTGTGGAGGGTCTTAAGAAGCTAGACAGTAAGCCAGGGGCTTGGTTAGAAGCAAGGATTATGGAAGCCAAGGGACTCTGATGTTAGGGTAGGATGAGGCAAGGCAGCAGGACTCGAGAATTACAGAGCAAAGAAGGGGATCAAGGAAAAAGGCCAGGGACATTAGTGAAGAAGAGAAATAGGGGTTAATAGGGCAAAAGAGCAGGGTGGGAACAAGGCCCGTGGGCTGGTGCTCACCATGGCAGTGGTTGGAGCTTGTGCTGTTCCCACTGTGGCCAGCTCTGGCAGGAGAGGCCCTGGGGCTGGGGGTGCCACAGCTCACCGTGAAGCCATTCTCAGACTCTGAGAGAAGGGGGCAGTTACAGCTCTGGCCTGCCCCCGCAACCCCCATGGGTGGGAGGAATCCAAGGGGAGCTGAGAGCTGCCTGAACAGCCAGCCCTTCCTTCCTGCTAGCCCTCCCACACCTTCCTCTAGGTACCTGGCAGGAACCGGGCTCGCGAGGGGCAGGTCAGGGCACAGGTGTCCTTCTTGCCAGAGCGGTTGCAGTTGAGCATGGCTTTCGAGGCACCAGAACTGCTCTGACACTTCATGGGCTCTAGAAAGGGGAGAAAGGCCTGAGGAGGAGAGGGTCTTTGTCTCCCACTCTCTCCCTCAGTTGGGTAATTTGGAGGAAGAAACTGAGACAGATGCAGAACTGTAGTTTCACATGGAGACTGAAGAAGGGAAATGCAAATGGTTATATTCAACTCCCGGCTCCGGCTCCGGGGGTGCTCTCTACCCTCTCCCCGCTCTCCCCCATCCCCTAGTCCCGAAGCTACAGCGGCGGCTTCAACCAGCAGAGGGCGCTGCCCACCTGTGCAATCCTTGCCGTTCCAGTGCAGCCTGCCCTGGCCTGCGGGGCAGGTACACTGGTAGCTGCCCGGAGTGTTGACGCAGCCAAAGCGGCAACCTCCCCGGTTGATGCTGCACTCATCCACATCTGGGGGGAACAGAGACAGAAAAAGGTGAGGGCGGATTAGAAGGCAGGGTGTGGGCAGGGGTGAGGACCTTTGGTTAGAGTTCCAGTAACTCTAAGACGACCTGAGCAAAGCTGGCCTGAGGGGAGCTCAGACCTCAGGCCTCTTTTGCTTTTCTCTGTCCCCAGTCGAAAGATTGCGCAATTGAGATGGGGGTCAAGCTAATGAGCTTTTTTTTTTTTTTTTTTAAAGCTTTTTACTACCCACCAGTGGGGTGTAATTTCAAAGCTAAGAATGGGAGTCAAGGGGCATTGATGAGGATGGAAGATAGAAATTCTGGAGACAGGATGCTGCTCCCCAATACCCTAGTCTCCCAGTTGTCTTACACCTGGGAATTGCCCAGCGCCACAAGCCAACTCAGGGACTTGTTCAAGTGAAGGGTAAAGTCAAAGGGACTGGGGGACTGAGATAGAAGTTTGCTAGCTTACCCCCACAGTGGGTGACACCATACAGCAGGTAGCCATGATGGCAAAGGCACTGGAAGCTTCCTGGCGTGTTGACACATATGTGGTCACAGGTTCGATCAAAGGAACACTCATCTATATCTAGAAGAGCAAGAACTCAAGCTACAAATCTGTTGTGGGGTTCTTGGCCCTAGGGTCTCTTATTCACGTGAAGAACCCAAACGAGAGGCCCTGGCTCTCCCCTCTTAACTTGAGAGTTCCTACTCATGGCCTAGCCTCAGGATCAGCAATTCAGCAATACCTACCCACCCCTAATGCCCTTCCCTTGGAATCCTAATAGTGAGGGACTGTAAGATCTGGTGCCTGTGGATCAGGGCCCCCATGTGCGGTTAGGCAGGTCAAACCCTTGGCTGCCAGGGACATGCACTGGGGTGAAATCCATCACTTATTGCCCAGCCAGATGCCCAGCAGAGCTGGCCTGCAGGTACATCTGTAAGACTCTTTGGAGATTCACAGTATCGAGTTTCTCAGACTCTTGCCCTCTGGCCACCTTGAACCTCTCTTACCCCCAAGAACCTCTCCCAAGGCTTTTCCCTTTGGCCCATGGTGCTCACCCTGGCAGTTCCTCTCATTGATGAGAAGCTTATAACCCTTCTTGCAGCTGCATTCGAAGCTGCCAACTGTGTTTCGGCAAATATGGTCACAGCCCCCATTGTTCAAGCGACATTCATCTATATCTGGGGAAGTGGGACAAAATAGAGAATTAAAGGTAATGCTGAAGGCTGGGAACAAACAAGGAGACAAGATTCCTCTTTCCCTCACAGAGGCAGGGAAAATCAGGACAGCCCTGGGCCTGCCCTTTCCGTGTCCTCTCTCACTCTCCGCTTCTCCCCTGGCCAGGGGCTCTGTGGCCATTAGTAATACCTTCTTTCCTGGGACTGCACCCTCTTAGATGGAGACAGACTGGAACTAGAGTCAAGCTCTCAGAATTGCCTGGAGCAGGAAGTAGATGAGCATGACCTATAAGTCAGTCTATGCCCCTCATTCTTCTACTGACAGACCATCTCAAAAAGGCTGGTGGATGGCATTTCTCTTTTGCTGACCCTTATCCCTACCAGTCACAGGGCCCCGTGGTAGTGGGAGTGTCATAGAGGTAGAGATTCAATGGGGCAGCCCTTCAGAGAGGAGGAGCTGGGAGAGGGGCCTGGCAGGGAAGACCTCCAGGAGAGCCAATGAGGCCGGGCAGCTGCTGGGGGAAGGGTGGAGGCCAGGCAGGGAACTGGACTGGGAGAGGCCTGGAGAGCCTCAGGCCTGAGGCAGCTTTCAGCACTAGAAAGGGAGGGGGTGTGCGCGGGTGAGCGGCTTCCTTCCTGAGGTCAAGTTCCCCAAGCTGGTGGCAGACAGGACCCAGCCTACTCACCCCTGCTTAGGGGAGGGGGCAGGGAGGGCAGCCTTCCACTTCACTCTTAGCATACCTGTCAACAGTCCTTCCCAGCAGGAAACCTCTCAACTCTGGCAGGCTGACCTGCTGCCCCAGCCCTCCCCCATCCTCTCTGCCAGCTGTTGGGCCAAAAGACACAAAGAAGGAGCCCAGTTCTCCTTCCAGGCCCCACTCCTGTGACCAGGGGACAGACCTGATGAATCATTGTTTTCAGTACGTCTCCCCTCCGTTTTTTCTTCCCACCCCACACCCCACTCCACCTTTCCCCCAGACCTAATTAAAAGGAAGGGAAATAGAATGGATAGTATTGGAAATTATGCCATAATAATAGCTAATAGGTGCTGTTTTAAGTAGACAAATCTAATGTAATATAATATAGCTACATGCAACTAATTTAATCACTTAATCCTTACAACATGCCTTGGAGGCAAACACCATTATTGTGGTCAAACTGAGGCACAAAACCACTAAGTAACTTGCTGAAGATCACGAAGCTAATAAGAGGGAAAGCTGGGCTCTGAAGCCAGGTAGCCAGGCTCTCGCATCAGTGTTTCTAGCTGCAAGTCACCCCCTGACCAGCACACTCCTTTCTACCGGGAAGTCTGGGGGATGTGGGTTAAGGAGGTTACGGAGCACACCTGTGACCTCATGCACACAGGGCTCAAATATCCTTCCAGACTGAGGAACAAATGTGAATGGCACATTCATTAGCCAAGAGGGCTAGGGGACAGGACTGAGCGTAGGGAAAACAGGTAAGGTAGGAGCTGAGGGCACTAAAGGATGGGCCAGATTTTTGTACCCTTGAACCGAGATGGGAAAAGCGGGCAGGAGACAACACTTAAGTCATGTCCTCCTGGCTAGGAGAGTCTCCTGGGGCCTGAGGGGGTGTGATCCCATAATAGCGACTCTGCCCTACTTCTGGTCTCAACCTCAGGCCTTTATGCTCCGCTCCTGCCCTCTGAAAGCCATTACCTTTGCACGTCTTCCTGTCTGGCTGGAGCATGAAGCCCACAGGGCAGCTGCAGTGGACGCCAGTCGCTGCATCGTGGCACTTACTGTCGCAGCCGCCGTTGTTGACAGCACAGGTCTCTGTTTAGGAGGGAGGCAGGGAACGGCACCCGGGTTATGGGCCTGGAGAAGTCCCGAACTCAGAGGTAATGAAAGCACAGGGGGGAGTGCTTTCATTACGGGCCAAGGGAAGGCCAAGGGAACAGGCCAAGGGAAGGCCCCTGGCTGCTTCCCTCTGCTTTAGAAGAAGCACGAAGCGGAGGCTCCCAGCCCCCTTCCCCCCATCACTCCCAGCCCCCAGCCCCTCACAAGTGCAGCCAAGCAGTTCACTTCCCTGCCCCCTACTTGATTGAAACAAGGTGGACAGCAGTGGGGCAGGTACAAGCCAGAGCTGTCAGGCAGGAATGTGCTGAGGGGGTGGAGGAGGTGGAGAGGGGAAGGCGCAGGGAGGGATGGGAGCTACTTAAGGGTGGTTCTCGCCGCCAGGGAGCAAGAAGGGACAGATAGGAGTTTCCTCCACTTTACGGCTGGCTGTCTTGGGTGAGGGGGGCTGGGAGAGCCTGGCCAGAGAGAGCCTGGTGACTCCTAAGACAGCTGGGGGATGGCCCTCCATTCATCTTCCCCTTCCTCCCTGCCCACTTGCGGGAAGAAAGATCCAGAACTGAGTGCTCATCCTCAGAGGAGGCGGCACGTACTCGCTCATTTCCCAGTCCCTTCCTGGCTACTTCCAACTCCTTCCAAGCCCTCCTTTTTAGTTCCAGATGGAGGTAAGCTGGCCGTACAGTTGTCATCTTACTCCCCTAGCGGGGTGATACCATCTTGGGGCAGGAGGGGCAAAAGGCGAACAAGAATCCAGAGAAGGAAGAGCACAGAAGGTAAGTCACAGAGTTAGACAACCTCAGAGCTCAATCTCCTCACCAGTAAGTTTTCCCTGTACTAAGGGGTCAGAGTGGGGGGGGTGTATGTGTGAATCAGTGACACTCTCCCTATTTTTGAATACAGAGCAGGAGAAAAACAGGTTTAAACTGCAGCTCAAGAGAGTCAAGTGATCGCGGGGACTGTGGTGGAAAAGGGAGCCATCCTCTGGGGGGCCCAGACTTCCCCCATTAGAGAGACAAAATCCCGAGGTCTTCACTAGGGAAGACAGGAGAGTTGTTCTCAGAATCAGGGGGGCTGAGAAGAACTGGAGACAACTATCACCTGGAATCTTTGACCCCTAAAACTCAGGCATAACCCTTGTCACCAAGGACAGCAGCAAGGCCGGGACTCCAGCAGAGGGCTAGCTCTGCCTGCAGGGTTATCTTCCAGTCCCTCAAATGCCCAGGTTTGAGAGTAGACACAACGAGGTCTCCTACGGGCCATTCCTACCTCAGTCTCACTTGAAGTTTCACAAGATCATGGGAGGAAGCTGGGCAGGAACTTTGAGCTCAGACCCTAAGCCAGCTAAACTCCCCCCTCACCCAAGTGCTCTTAGGATAAGAAGTCCCCCAAGCCCCGAATCAGGGATAGGGGAACAGGTCCTGTGCCAAGTCTAGGTAGATTGGGAGGGATCTAGGATGGGGAGCAGCAGACCCGGCATCATGTCCATCCAAGGTTGGCCAGGGAGCTGGGCATAGCTGCCCACCCATGGACAGCGTTCCCCTGGGACTAGGACAGCAAGGCCTCAACCCTTTGCTTTCCAGGATGCGGTATTAAAACCTCAAGTTACTCTGCCAGGTGCTTACTCGATGCTCTACATACACCATCTCGGTCATAGCAGCCCTGAGGGAGAACACTTATTCCCCCTGTTTTACACAAGAGTAAACTGAGAATCAGAGAGGAAGTAGCTGGCCTGAGGTCATCCATACAGTTAGAAGGTGGCAGAGCCAGGATTCAAACCTAGGTCTGTCTGAACTCAGATGTCATGCGCTTAACCTTGTGGTGGGAGGGAATGGTGAGTGATGCTAGGGTTGTGAGCTAATGTGGGTAAGAACCCAAGGAGAACCCCCAAGGAGAGGGTAGCAACTAACCCTATCCCACCCCCATCTCAGGTGGCACAGTGGGTGCAATGGGTAAGGTGGAGCTGGCTGGTCTTTATCTGTGCAGATAATGCAGAGAGAGGGAGGGGAGCAGATGGTTGGAAGAGGTGAGGTGTTAGAAGGTGGGTGTGGAAGGAGGTGGAAGGAGAGAGCAGGAGAGAAGGAGAGTGACAAGGTCAAAGACAGACAAAACCAACCCAAAGGCTCCTGGGCCAGCTCTTAGGGACTCAGGTTCCTGTCATCCAATGGGCCCAGTACCCAAGCTGCCAGGGGGGCCCTGCTGGCAGGCTGGGCCAAGTGGGCATGCAGTTAGTGGGAACCCCAGCGAGTTAGCCCTTCCCCTAGCAAGCCAGTGAGAGCGAGCGGAGAGAGCAGACATATTTACCATTAGAAACGGCCTGAGGGGGGATGTGCTGCTCTAGCCGCCTTTCCCCTGTTTGACATTGCGAAAAAGCTGTTTAGATGCTGGGCAGGAGCCACTGTGGCCCGCCCCAGCCTCCTCCCGCCCCTTCCACCGCCCTGCAGGCCCACACCACTAACCCCGAAGGATGAGTCCTGAGACTCACAGCAGCTCCACTCCCCAGCCTTGTCCTGCCTGGTAATCCTCAGAGAAGCCAGACTCCCACCAAGTGACTGATGGGAAACTAAGTCTCAGAGAGGGGCAGTCTTGGGCTGGACCACACAGCAGGCCAGAGGCAGAGCTGGGACGCAACCTTAGGTCTCACGAGCTGCCGAGTCCCAAACCTCCAGGAATACCCCTCACCTTTCTGCTAAACCAGACTGTCCTCTCAGTCTCCCCACTAAGTGTCTCGGTGACCCCAAACAATGAAGGTTCCTTCTACCAGGGCTGGGGGGAGAAATAAGATGTAGGGCAGTATAAAATGAGTTCTGTTGCAGAAGGAGAGGACCTGGGAAAGAACATAGCTGGGAACTCTAGAACGACCTCGCTTGTTCTCGGCTTCGCTTGGCCCAGGTAGTAGAATGGGTCGGGATTAGAGAAGAGCTCAAGCTTACTAGGGGATTTTCAAAAGCAGCCATGCCTGGGACTATCTGAACAGAAAGTAAGAAACCCGAGGGCCCCAGCCCTCACATCCAAGACCCCAAGCTCTGTCCTGGTTCATGCAGCTTTCCCTTGGGGACTGCATGCAGTTTCTTTAGGGAGATTCTGGGGCTGTCTGAGTGTGTCCGGGGTGGTGAGAGGGTGGGGAAGCAGAATGATTCAATTTATAAAGAAAAAATGAAAAGAGCTGGGATAAATCAGCCTGCAGAAGGCAACACGAAGACCTACACATCTTCCAGGGTTTTGGAAGGGTTAGTTCAGAGGGAAACATGTAGCAGGAGAGATTTTCCTTAAGGAACTTTAGAACTGTGGGTGCAAGACTTGGAGCAGGTACCCGAGGGAGACCTTTAAGAGCCTCATCTGCTCCCCTGTTCTTGGTCTGGGAGAAAGGCAGCACTGTCCGCAGAGGAGTAGGGCTCTGCATGAGAAGGCTCTTAAGCTGAGTGTCCTCTCTTTGATGCACATATGTATGGAGTGACATGTTCACCCTTCCCGTGCCCACGTGCTGCGGTCCACGAGATGCTGGCCATCCGCAGACATCTGTGCCCACAGAACGAGCTTACCTGGCTCAACAAATAGCCTTTCCCCAGCCAAATTCTTTTACTTCCTACTTCTCCAAGGGGACACCTTGCCCCCGATCTTACTCAGCGCTCTGTGAGGACACAGTAACTCTCCTCCTCTAAAGACCTGAAGACTGAGGGAATTAGGAATTAAATGAATTAAGGAATTGAATGTATCTATGGTACTGGAAGATACTGGAGTTAAGGCCTAGCAATTCAGGAAAAGGTGTTATGAAAGCCCCAAACTAGGCTGGAGTTGGTGAGAAAGTGGGAGGGCCGCGCTGAGAGGGTGTATCACTGGAAGGTGGGGGGACAGAGAAGGAAATGAGGGGCCAGGGCGAGGGCAGTGCAAAGGGAATTTACAGGAGAAGAGCAAGGAGAGAGAGGATAAAGAAAAAGATACCTGGAGTTGAAACCCCACTTGTCAGCTCAGGGTTGATTGTTTCCAAAGAGCGCCCTGTCCCACCCTCTTGCCAGAGGCGGGTCAGTGGGCTGTGACAGAGCCCCTCACTCTACTAGTCAACCGGGCAGACCCGCTGCACTGTGCTAGCTCTCCTCCTGCCTCAGCCAGAGCCTCGGTCCACAAGCACCTCTGCTTCTTATCCCCAGGCTGGCAACACTGGATCCCAGGAGAGAGGCTGGGGAGGCTGCAGGGGTGGGGCAGTGGAACCACAGACAGGAGGGGAAGAGGGCCAGGGAGCCCGTCCATCTCTGAGCTGTCTCTTACTAGACCTGGCACTGTCAGGGTTGTCAACATGCTCACCAGCCAATCTGCACCCATCACCTGCCCCCCACAACCCGTGCTCCCTGCCCCCCGCTTCCCAAGGGCCCCTGCCACCACCACCCTCCCAGGAGGACTGGGTTCTCCTCCGGCCTCACCCACCGATGCACGTCTTCCCGTCGGTATGGAGCACAAACTTGACATGGCAGCCGCACCGGGGACCCTGCTCTGTGTCGTCACACGTGTGCTGGCAGCCGCCATTCCCGTAGTTGCATGTCACTGTGCAGAGAGGGCAGGAGGCTTGTCAGCTGGCTTCGCCCGGAGCACCACAGTTCTCTGTAACACTAATACTGGCCCTGGGCCTCCCTGGTGGCGCAGGGGTTAAAGACCACACTATCAAGCTAGCGCCAGCCACTGCAGCACAAGTTCGATCCCCAGCCAGGGAGCTACCCACATGGCGCCACAGATCTTTCCTGTATCACCTGCTACTCCCCTCAGCAGTGTATTTAGTCCGTCTGCCCGTTCTGTTCCCCACTCTGTCTCTGGTGAATCCTCTCACTCCCTCACCTCTGGCCTATACCCCAGTTCTTGTATGCATTAAAAAAAAAAAAACAAAAACAAAAACACTAATACTGGCCCACTTTTCTAGTGCCTCTCCCAGGCTCCCTTCTCCTGCCACTTCTTGCTCCTGAGGCCCAACACCCCTGCTCTCTGTCTCCCCTCCTCCCCCACTGCCATCGCAGTTATCTCACATTTACAGTCCCGTTGGTTCTTGGTGAGCTCGAAGCCAGGGCGGCATTCGCAGGCAATCCCCCCTTTGGGCGTCTCCCGGCAAATGTGCGCACAGCCGTGGTTCTTGTTCATGCAATTCATTCCTTCTAAAAGGGAAGAAGAGGGAATGGATGCTGCATACTTCGGGGCACCTAGAGGAGAGGAACTGCGAGGGTGGGGACTGAGAAGTTGGGAGAATTCCACTGAGGCTGCAACTCAGAGTAGACTGACTGTCCCCCTCGTGGCCCTAGGTGCTGGGTGGCTTCAGGATGCACCCAGAAAAATATAAGACATTATCTCTTTCCTCAAAGAGCTTACAGTCAAATTGGGGAAAAGAGAAATAATGATCAAATCTATAATGTGAGTGGGGAACAATTGGTATGGATAATTACACAATTTCATTCAACAATTATTTATTAAGCTCCCACTACAGGCAGGGCAGTATATTAGGCGTGGGGGATACAAAGATGAATAGGTTAGTGCCTGCCTTCAGGGAGGTCAGTCTAGTTGGGGGGGGGTGGGCAGAGTCCTTGGGGCTGATCACAAGACTCCCAGGGTAGCCTCAATCCAACTCTGACCCCAATCCCAAATGAATTCTACCAGATTTTGCTTTAACACAAAATATCCACTGAGCCCTCAGGATGTGATGGGGCTGAGGGACAAGAAAAGGGGGCGCTAGTGGAGTTGGGTAGGGATGGCAAAACCTTGGGGGTACTGAGGGAAAGCTCTGGAGCAGCAGATGGACAAGTCTGGGGAGCGCAGGGCGGGGCTGACCTTCTGGCCGCTGGATGCAGGTGTGCTGGTTGTCGCTGAGGAAGAAGCCTTCCCGGCAGTGGCACTCATAGCTTCCCATCATGTTGACACAGCTCTGTTGGCAGCCACCGTTGCCCTCGGCACACTCATCCACATCTGTGCAGGACAGGTGGTGGGGGAGGCGGTGGGGTGTAGGCCGGGGTCCAGGGTAACCCTGGGACTTCAGGGCCCAGGGCTGAGAGCAGTCTTAGGAACCCAACAGCCCTTCCCAATCCAAGACCCAGCTTCAGTCAGGCTCATCACCAGCTAGTACCCCACTGCTCATGAAGAGGTCACCCTAACAGTGGAGCTGGGGAGCTAACCAAGCAGGGAGGGGACATTTGAACTTGGCCCACCTTGGGGGGACTGGCCTCCCTCTCCCTCACCCACTGACATTGGGTCTGAGGGCAGAAATGAAGAAAGAAGACAGAGCAAGAGGTAGAGCAATGGAGATCAAGATGGAGATTGGCCAGGGACAGGAACCAGGGGCCTGTGGTTGTGATGAGCCCAGGGGCTCCAAGGACCTGGCCAGTGGCTTCGCCTGCAGGGGAGCTATAGCCATGGTGCTGACGTCGTTGGAGGGGCAGAGTGGGGAAAGGCCATGAGCTTCAAGTCCTTGCCCCGCAGAGACCATTTCTGTGGACAGACCATGGCCCCATCCTCTCTCCCCTCCCTCCATGCCTGGGCTTGCTGCCATCTTCCCCAGCCTTTCTCCTATTTTGGTTTAACAAAACAAAGTCTGGTAGCTTGGCAGGGAGGGATGCGGGAAAGCTGCCAGGCCACACCCCAATCACCACCCAAAATCACCACCCCCAGGTCCCAGAGCCAAGTTCTTCTTGGGGCTCCCACTTCAGTGCCTCCACTTGGTCTCTGTACTGCCTCCCATCCTGAGCCCATGGCCCTTCTCGGTATGCAATTTTCCAACAAGCATCAGAAAGATTGGTCCTCAAATGGAACAGCTGGAGTCTGGGTTCCAGGGGGCTTCATCTGTCCCCTCTTCCCCTGAAACCTTGACCTCTTCCCTTCTGGCCAATGGCAGAGCAGCTCTGATCCTGCCTGAGAGATGCCCCTGTCGGGGTGAGGCGGTACACTTTCCTTCACCGTGGCGTGTCTTTGCCCCACGCCTCATTGCATCCCTGACTCCCCATCTCTGTCTTCCCACTCTACCCCCGCCTACATTCCGTTCTCTACTGCCCCCTTCTAGCTCAGCTCTGTCACTCTCTTCCTCTAGCCAAGTTCTTTCCTCCAGTTCTGGGGGTGGGGTGGGAAGAGGACTGAGGCCCAGGGTGTAGATGACTTCCTATGAGTTCCCCTAAAAGTCAAAGGTAGGGCTGATACTTTGAGCCCCAACCCTAGGGTGAAGGTGAGAGTGACTTTTGCTCCCCCTGGACACTCCATATATACTTGTTTTCTTATCCCTCTGGCAGGTTCTCCCTAAAACACTTATAGGGAAACTAGACTTGGAGAGAACTGGGGGCTTAGAGCAGTCAAGGGCAATCGAAGAACCCAGAAGCTGATGTTCATTGTTCTATAAGCAACTCATGGTGAAGGTCCAAGAGTCAGATTCTCCTTTCAAAGCAGACCCCAAAGAGACCCTCACCCTCATGGGTAACTGGGTAGACAAGAAGTGAGGTCCTGAGCCTCCCCGGTAGAGCAGTGGTTAAGCGCTGGGCTGCAAAGCTGCCTGTGGCCTCTGCAGCGCCGCCGGTTCAGTCCCCGGTCACCGGCAAGGATCCCACATGGCACACAGACCTCTCCTGCCGTGCCTGCTGCTCCCCTCAGCAGTGTATTTCGTCAGTCTGCCTGTTTTGTTCCCCACTCTGGCTCTGGTGAATTCTCTCGCCCTCCCACACTTCTGACTGTACCCAGTGCTTGTATAAATAAAATAAATAAATCTTAAAAAAAAAAAAAGTTAAAAAAGAAGTGAGGTCCTTCCCCAGTGGCTACTGTGGTAAGAGAGGTGGCTGGGGCTGGGGGGAAGGGTCCAGCAGGGATCAGGGTTAGAGGCCCAGGTTGGGAGCAGAAAATCCATAAGCCTGGTCCAAAGACAGAAAGCAACTGGGTTTTGAGGCAGCTGTGTAGTTAGGAGGTTCCCCTAGGCCAGTAGGACCTTAGGTAACCCTATATGGTCATGTGGGGGGTGGGAGAGCAGCCTAACCTATTTTTCTGGGTATCATGTCTCTTGCTTCTCTTCCTTTGTCTTTTATTCTTCTAGTCTTTTTATTTTGGCACCAGAGAAAAAAGGTTTTGGGAAAGGACCCCTGGTTTCACATCTCATAACATTTCCTACTGTAGGGTTCAGTTTTTTTTAGTTGGGGAATAATGTGACTTAATCCCAGCAATTTTCCAGAATGATAGAGACCAAAGTCGAGTTTAATTCCCTTAGAGATTCTCTCTCTGATCCAGCCAAAGGAGATCAGGTCAGAACGAGAACTCAGAAGTAAGTAGATGATGAGCCTGGAGATTGCAGAAGAACTGGAAGAAAACCAACCTTTAAGTGTCAGCAGCTCCCCGGGGCACAGGGGACCATCACCGTCTTCATCAACAACACCCTCTCATTTATTGAGGGTCTACTACGCGCTAAGGATGGTGCAGGACTCTACACATTACTCTGGTAATCCTCCCAGCAGCCCTTTGAGTGGCAGGCTGAACCCCCATTTTAGAGGTGAGGAAGCTGAGATGCCCAAGATGAGCTGATTTCCCAAGGCTCCACAGATACTAAGCAGCAGAGCAGGATCTGTCTGGAGCCAAGTCACCGGCCACTGCGCTTTGCCCCTCGTGCAAAACCCACGACTGTCGCCGCCCAGCCCCGGCCCTGGCAGCACTTCCTAGCAGCATCTGCTCCGATGTTTTTCACGCAGCGGGATTATTTCAACCAGTGCCCCGCCTCAGAGGGGAAGCTGACTTTGTTCTCTATTTTGTGGGAATGAAGCTTTTTGAGCACTTTCCTTGGAAGTGGGAACTGCTTGAAAACACCTCCTTCCCGACGAGAGATCACTTCCCACCCCCCTCTCCACTGCTCACCCAGACAGTTGTGTCCATCATGTGCCAGGTGGAATCCATCATAGCAGGTACATCGGTAATTGCCGGGGATGTTGACGCAGTCATGCACGCAACCTGCGTTATCCTCTCGTTCACATTCATCCACGTCTGTGGGCAAAGAGGAAGTGAGGCTGCTGGACCCACCTGTGTGCCCCCCAAACCCCCTACCCCTGGTCCACCTCTGGGCTCAGCCTTGTGGTGGCTTTTAAAAATATATACGGCACCTCTGTGTGTGTTTGAACATGGTTTTCATGGTCTACAAAACATTTTGCATCTTGCTATTTTCATCGAAATGTAAGTCATAAAGAAAAAAATAAACTTAAGTTATAAAGACTTTCATTTCTAGTCTTTCTTATTATTGCTGTACTTGGTTTTAGAACATCCCATTGTGCTGCTATATCATAATTTATTAATCCTTTTTCTCTATTGTTGGAGTCCTTCCGTTTATTTCACTATCATAAATAATGCATCAAAGAACACTCACCAATATATTATTGTGTTGCTTTGGCGTTCCTTAAATAAGCCCCTAATATTCCTGACTCAAAGGGTATAAATACCTTTGAAGAGTCTGGCTAGGAATGACAAGATCACTTTTCAATTTATGTTATCACCAGGAATCAATGAGTACACCTTGTCCAACTGAAGTCTTACCAACACTGGAGGTCACAGATTTAAAATAACATCTTGAGACTGCCTTAACTTCCATTGCTTTAAGAGGTGAAGATGTGCTCATTTTCAGTATGAAATTCCCTAAGGAAAACCATTCTTATCCTTTATGGGCAGGGGTAAAGGTGTGAGGCATTAGGGTACCTCATCCCCATGACTCTGATCCCCTCCCCAGACCCCCTACCCGTCTGGTTCTGCAGCTGAACAGTTCCCACCAGGCTGGCCGACAAGGTGCATTTGTGCAAACTGGAAAATGGTGTCTTCTCTGAGAAGATACAGCCCCCCTCCCGTGTCACCCCCTTCCCATGCCAGTGGGGATGTAGCCTTAAGTGTAATGCGCAGTATGGCCACTGAAGGCAGGGCACTGGCTGCCCTCCCAGCAGGTCCCCCTTCTCCAGGTGCCCTCCAGCCTCACCTTTGCAGTGTTTACCATCCCCCGTGTAGCCAGACTTGCAGATGCATTTGTATGATCGCGGGGTGTTCTGGCAGATAGCATCGATGTGGCAGTTGTCAGTCCCCTCCACACACTCGTCCACATCTGGCAGGGGCAGAGGGGGCATGTGAGACCCTCTGTTGGTGCAACCCAAGGTATATCTCGAGGGAGGTTCCCCACGGGTAAAATCCCTTCTTTAAAATAGAGAAAGAGACCTTTCCAGAAGCAGGTGTTTTCCTCGCACCCGTCTCATACCAGAGTAGGCCAACTCTGTAATTTCAGGAATTCAGAAGGAAACCCCACTCCCCTCAAAAATACTTAATCTATGACAGCTAAAATTCCATCATTTGAAACACTCCTTTGATTTAAAAACAAAATAAAAAATCTTCAGACTTGATAGTACACTTAACTTGATTAGAAGTATTCAACCTGGGGCCTCTCTGGTGGCACAAGGGGTTAAGATACAGCACTATGAAGATATCCGCAGCCACTGCAACACGAGTTCGATCCCCGGCCAGGGAGGTGACCCACATGGCACAGCAGACCTCTCCTGACTTGCCCGCTGCTCCCCTCAGCAGTGTATTTCAGTCAGTCTGCCTGTTCTGTTTCCCACTCTGTCTCTGGTGAATTCTCTCACCCCCACACACCTCTGGCCTGTACCCCAGTTCTTGTATGCATAAATAAAATAAATCTTTAAAAAAAAAAGAAAACGAAATATTCAGCCTGGTGTGAACTGGTTTACCTTTCTTCGGAGTAGGTTTAGAGGAAAGGAGAAATGGAAACTCAAGGGAACAGTGGCTTCTTGGAAAGTGGCAGGGTCCAGCGGCCACTGGCAATTAAAAGAGGGAGAAAGGAAGACAGGACATCTGAGGAATCCTCATGTGCCTTGTTCTTCTTGAGACTAGGCCTGCTCCCTCTTGCCTGCCATGGTGCCGAGAGGCTTTAGAGGAAAGAAGTTCCATCCTGGAAGATTTTCCTTGGCCCCTGTGCTGTCAGCAGCAGAGGGACCAGGAGCTGGCTGGCTGGCACCAGCAATCTGAAGCTTGAGAATTGCGGACCTTGCAGCTCTCCAGCTGACCCACGCAGTCCACCTATCCCGCCACCCTGAGCGCTTTCATCTCCTCCCAGTGCTGCTCTGTCTCCTGGCCTGGCTCTAACACCAGATGCTTACTCACAGAGCTATGCTAAAGGAAGCAGTCACCCGAGATCCAGCAAAAAAGAGGATGGTTAAAAAAGGACATAAGAAAGAGATTCATTGTCTTTGAGCAAAAAGACCCCAATTTCTGGAGCGGTATTATGGTACCTATAAAATTGGACTGAGATAGGAAAAATGTTTCATTCTGTTGAAAATGCATTATAAAGTATGTTTGTGAAAGGTAATATCCTGAGGGTCTTGGAGACTCATCCAGCTAAATGGAGAGACAACAGACAACTCAAGTGGTGAGTGGCCTGAAGCACGATAGATAAGGTGAGGGGGTCCTCAATCTGGCTGTCCAGCAGAGTCAGCTCCCCGAGGAGATGTCCTGATGCCACCCCCGATTCTGGTCAACTAGTCTGGGCTGGGGGCCGGCCATCAGTATTTTTCTGCAGCTCTCCAGGCAAGCTTTTGTTAAAATGTAGAACTTCAGGCCTTATCGTCAACCTGATGATTCTAAATCCTCATTATGGTGCTAGATATGTTTTTCCACTAAATGAATGAGTGAACCAGCAATTGCTCCAATTTCTAGACACCCATGATTCCTAACTTGAGATAGTTATCCGTACTCTGCTGTCATATTTCAACAAGTGCTTTGGGGGCAGGACTGAGGCTTCGAGGGGCTGAGAAGAGAACTGCAATGTGGACGACTGCCCCCAAACACTGCCTCAAATCAGCCCTGCATGCGGGCCCTCCAACTCTGCTGGACTCCTGCAGCAGTCCCCCCTGCCAGGGACTCTACCCGCTGTCATTCTCTAGTTCTCCATCTCACTCAGCTCTGCAGTATTGGTGTTTGCCTGGTGGTCCACCCTGGGAAGTCCTCTTAGAGTCAGAGAATGGAGATTGCCCTCCTAGAGGGCACAGAAGACTTGTCTGGGCACAAGAGACCTCTAGGGACTAGTGAGAGGCTACATGGAAAATGGGTTTGTTCAACCAATGACATAGCATGAAACATGCTGTCACAGAAAGAGAGGGAGCTCTGGAACCAGTCAGTTCCACATTCAGATCCAGCTCTGCCACCTCTGGGGAGGCTTTTCTGATTCTCTCATTTTTCTTCTCTTTACAATAGAGGTAAGAAAACCTCAGGAGTGGCTGTGAGCATTTAATGAGACAATTTGTGTGAAGAGCCTAATCAAGTATGTCACAAATAGTCAGTACCAATACGTGGAAGCTTGAGGATCAGTATTTGATAACTGGTACAGGCAACAGACGCTGTGGGGCTGTGCTGGCCGAGATGAGAACGACCAGCCACATGTGGTTATTTAAATTCAAATTCATTTCAAATTCAGTTTTTTGGTTACATGAGCCACAGACCAAGCGCTCAATACCGTCCATAGCTAGTGGTGACCCAACTGGACGGCATAGATAGGACCGTTGCCAACATCCCGGAAGTTCTATTCGACTGCACTGCTCTGGGGGTACCGAGAGCCGGATACCCTAGGACCCACCGAAAAGCTTTATGAGGAGTAGGATTCAAGTTGAACTTTGGAGGGTGGGTAAGCATTAGACATTCAGAGGGGAAAGAGGAAGCTCAAGCGCAGTTAGACGTGTGAAGAAAGACAAAGCACCCGCAGTCAGGTCCTTATTCCTCGTCACCACATCTCACACAGGCCCTCCACTATGATTTTTGAACAAGCAATTCTCATTTTTTTTAAAAAAGATTTATTTATTTATTTATTTATACAAGCACTGAGTACAGTCAGAAGCGCGGGAGGGTGAGAGGATTCACCAGAGCCAGAGCGGGGAACAGAACAGGCAGACTGACGAAGTACACTGCTGAGGGGAGCAGCGGGCACAGCAGAGAGGTCTGCATGCCATGTGGGACCCTCTGGCGCTGGCGGCCAGGGATCGAACCGGCGCTACAGAGGTTGCAGGCAGCTTCGCAGCCCAGCGCTCAAACACTGCGCCACCAGGGGAGGCCCCAATTCTCATTTTTGAATGGATAGAGGCTGTTTTATCTGCTTGTGTCGGGTCCCCGGGGGAGGGTGGCCTGGATGGCACCCCCTGCCCTGAGCCAGTCCTGTGTGTCCCAGAGGCAGGTGTGGGGCCTTGGGCCGTTCCAGTGACTAACAATCACCCTCTTCTCGCCTCTCCACCCCTTCCCTGGAAGCCCCTGTGGGGACCTGGCAGTTCCTCTGGAAGCTCCCCATCTAGTGCCATCTCAGGGCATGTGCCCGTCCAGATCAGCTGGCACTTTGCTAGAATCAGGCTCTCTGGGCTCCACGCCAGTCCTCTCGGTACCAGAGTGGGCCCCAGCGCCCACTGCAGCAAGCCCAGACCTCCTGGCAGAGCCTTCAAAGCCCTCTAGCTACCGGGCTTTCCAGCCATCTTCCCAGTCTCATCTCCTTGTTCATAAGCTTACCCCTCTCTGCAGGCTCTGTTCTGGAAGGCTTTGTCTCCTCCCTATGCTCTCTACCTGCCAAACCATCCCTCTTCTCCCGGGCACTCACCCATCCCCATCTTCACATGATGCAGTCCTCTCTTTTCTAGCCACACTGCTCTCAGCTTTCCAAATGTGGCTTAAAATGGGCAGAAC